TTTTTTTTTTTGTCTTCTGGTAAGCTGAGAAAGGAAAGGACAAGGATATGGAAGGAAATAAGGTTATAAGATGTGTACTGTGTGCTCAGAAAATAGTGTTACACATATCTGATTTTCATTTGACTCGGAGTAAATCGCTTTCAATGAAATGATACAACCTGAATGTCTAATTCTGCGCCACCTGTCCTTGTTGGCCTGCATATCGTGCTTATTGGGAAGCAAAGTACTGCAATTTCGCGCCCAATTTTGATTTTGCTTGGTAGGTAAATTTGATGACTACAAAAATCGTTACAAGTCAATTTTAAAGTCTGGCAGTCAGTATAAAGGCTCTGTATTTTCTACAGCTTTAGATTATCTACACTATTGTTCTCCATCATTTACAAAGATAAATTTGAATGTCGACTGCATTTTAATACAATTAATGAAATAGATTTGGTCTTTATCGTTTTTATTTGCATGGCTGGCTCTTCGTGATTGGGTTTTCATGTGCAGTACCAGACATCCTGCATTGCCATGTAAATTTTACTAATGACTCATACATATGTATGTGTACACAAAGTTCCAATTAAGGGGCTTACCCAGTGGATCAAAGGGTAGGTAGAAACCAAGTTCACAATGTAAACATTCACCTCGGCCTGTCAGTTGTGCTGTTGTCCCTTCTTTCTATATGTGGATATTATATATATATATACACACACACACACACACATATACACACACACACACACACACACAGGCAGAATCCAAAGGCATTGTTTAAAACAACTTTCCCTACAGAAATAGCAAGTAGTTTTAGGCTTTAATTACAATTATTTTTAATCATCAGAAATTCTGAACCCTCAAGGAAACAAACATGATTAAGAAAAGTACACATTTAAATTCATAAAACTGTCCACTATCTGGCTGGGACATAAAGTACTATAAAAATTTGGATCGGATGAAAAACAACATAAACCTACAGTTGAAAAATGTTTTGGTATACTGCTGATTTAATTAAATGTCATATTCTTGCTATCAGGGGAATTTCAGCTTAGACTAATCAACTAGGAACAGTACTCACAAACAGATGAAAGTGTTGAGGTACAGTTTTAATTAAACAAAAAAAACTGAGTTCATTCCAAATGTTTTCTTATTTCCATGGCTCAACAAGCCACTTGAAGAAATTGGTTAAGAACATAATTTTTTTTTCGGTTCACGCCGGTCTCCCCGCGCTTCAGCTCTCCGAGTAGCTGGACTCAGGCGCCGCCATACCTTTCGCGCCGGCCTAGTATTTTTGACTTCCTGAGTAGAGACGGGGTTTCACCGTGTTAG